GTCGTACATTTAGATTATATACAGTTTGCATTTAAACAACCCTTAGATCTACTAAAATCGATGATAATTTGATAGTATTAAGTTCTTTCTTTAGGTATTTCATTAGTTTGGATCTCTGATTAACTGCTAATTGACAGGAGATTATCAATAAGTACACTCAGCACTCAAAATACAACAACTCACTGAGTACATGTCTTTCTACACTAGTTCGAGTTACATTTTGTGTGTGTTTGTACGTGTGTGGGATATTGGTGCAAATTTCTAATTAGTGGTGAAGTGATTGAAACATAACTGCTGTAACTACTAAGCTGCTATACTCATAAAGCAACTGTATACATGAAATTTTACTCACAATTATATATTAAATGTTTGAACATTTTGAAAATCTTAATTTATTGGTAAACTAGAGACTATAGTACGTTTAAAATGCCTAAATTAAGCTTACAAAAATGGCATGAAAAATAACGTTCATAACTATATATGGCAACGGATACTACCGAATGTGTAGATAAGTCAGTTTTAAAAAAGGTCAGCCAAAACCTGAGTGATTCAGTGTTGCCATCTTCGGTTGTGACTGACAGTTGTGATACAAGTTCGAATTCCAGGTGAAACATCAATTCATTCAGAATTATAAGCAAAACTTGTTAAGGAATAAAAGAGTCAAGAAAAATCAAATGGTTCCAACCACCAAATATACGTCATCCATGATCCTCATAGAATAGAGCCCAGAACCTTAAAATATTGTGGCGAAACTCTAACCTTGTTTTTCCCTCTTTTATATACATATATCCACGGATAATTAGATTAACCAAGTGACATCAATTAGAAAAACATAAAAAACCGTATAGAATATTAAATAATAATTTATGCTTAGTTTTTAGCTCACTTTTAATAAATATTTAAAATCAACTTCCCCATATGTCATTGAATGAAAAGAAGATATTCAAGTCTCGTACTGGTCATGTTAATTTTGCGCCACCTAATCCCGATTTAATAAACAAAATTTCAAACTCTTATTCAATTAATGAGTGAAATTATGGTTTTTGAGCTCTGATTTGATATAGAGTGACGTATTTATCACAGATATTGTAGTAATAGTTACACTAGATGATGAAACAACTTTATTTAAAAATACGGTACACTTAATTCGAAGTCACTGATCCTAATCTGTCTTAATATTCATCACGCGATATTCGAATTATGAGTCCGGATCCATATTGAACTCTTTAGTATACATTGTTGATGAATCTCATATTAGGGTGAAACACACAATCGGTATTTCTTGATTTCCAAAGAAATCACTATCTGATACTGAAAATTACCTTGAAAGCAAAGTATTCTCTACAAATAAGCAACTAAATAGATATTTATTATATGAGGAGTTTGTGGGAATTATTGAATTTTGCAGTATATCTCACGAAATGACCTTAATAAAAAAACTGACGGAAACTAGGAGACCGTGACCAATGGATTTAAGCTAAGTTGCATGTCAGGCAGTTGAGTACAAATATTATTAGAAGACGGCAGTGTAATATTACAAATTAACTGAGGTTAGAAACATAAACTACCGGTTGCTAACTCAGCGGTCCGAAATTCAAGCACTGGTTGTAGGGTCCGAAGATTCTTGGTTCAGTCCTTGATGGAGTTTATGTTACGAACTGCTAAGGATTTCCATACTAAAATGAAATAACTGTCTAGTGCTTAGTGGTTTCCAATGGTTGTGTAACTAAGGTCAATCTGTAATGTAAGTTGTAAACGAATATCTTGCTCGATTCATTCTCTTTTGAAATAGTAACAAAATTGTAAAGGGTATTATAAGATTTTTACTTAGTATGACTGATTATAAGATATATACAGTTCCAATTTTAAAACTTCTATGAAAACTTGATTCAAAATTTTTCATTATTTTCTCTATTTACTATTTTTATCACATACAAAATAATGGTATCTTCACCTGTTTGAATCATTCCCAACCTATTAGATAAAATAATTATTCATTTATACTTGTCAAATATATTCACGTTTTTACCAAATATGTTATTTAGTCTGTAACAAGGAGAAATAATATTTCCAATTAAATGTGATCCTACTTCCGCATCCGCTTCAAATTAGTAAACTTGCAATTTCTTTTATATTTTTTTTGTAATAGACTAGTCTTAGTAACATAATATACTTACCGATTAGATGCTAGTTATTCATTATTATTTTTTATGCGTTATGAATATATCAGAATGACTAATCAATCTTCAGTTGTCAATCTTATTTACATAACCTGAATAAATATACTAATACTTCAACCGGATCTGCTGTGAGATAATAACTCATTAAAGATAATGGCGGATGTGTCAATCAGTTTTGTGGATTAGTTGGAGTCAGACATTAACAACCTTGGATAACGACTCAGTGGTCTAGAGGTTCGTGCGCAAGACTAATAGGTCCTGGGTTCAAATCTTGGGAGGCGGGATCGTGGGTGCGCACTGCTGAGGAGTCCCAAAATAGGACGAAAAGGCCGTCCAGTGCCTTCAGGTTTTCATGGTGGTCTAACTTCAACTGACTCATAACCTCAACTACCATAATTTATATGTTTTGAAAAAAATACCACCAATATCAGAAACAAAGATAACTAGATGGCGGTTAGAGGTAGTCAACAAGAAACCCTGGACTCGGGTTTGTGTGGCATCAGTATGTGTGAACGTTCCTTGTGTTCTTCTGACCGACTTTTAATATATACACTGAAAGTCATTTGTCAGTAGTTAATTTCATTTACATAAATATCATTTCGATTAACTGTGTGATGAATAATAATTGAATATTCAAATTTATAGGTGAACCAATTTTTAACACCTACATGTACACACACACACATGTACATATATTATTTAAATATACTTAGTAGTTTTTCGAATATTAAATAAAATTTCACAAAATGTTTATTAGAAAATTATTGAAATATAATACTTGATATGAACTAAATGAAAAATTAAAATACTCTCCTACCACTATTATCATTAAATATACTTCCAGAGTATAGTTGATAAAATGCATGTAATTATGTATTCATTTGTTGTTTTCAATGTAATGAAATATATAAAAAGAATGCTTAGTCCTTTAGAGTTAATTTATCAATCTATTACTCATTTATTCAGTAATATCTCAATTCTGGAATAAATTTATTGTTTTGTTTTAAAAATGAGTATAATACACATCCATGATCCTACTGCGTATCGAACTCAAAAAACTTCAGGTCTCTTGACAAGGGCTCAGCCTTCAGATAATGCGTTAGCATCTAGTTGTTAATATTTCCAGCCTAAACTAAACCATTATTGCTTACTGGTGACTGATTTCATAAGGTGATTCCTAGAGTTATAGTTGGAAGCAATGACCAGTATTTATTTATTTATTTATTTTAACACATAGATATTGGTACAAGGAAGCGCCAAATACATATGCGCCACACAAATCTCATTCGATATGTGTGAGGGCTGTGATACTGCACGGTAGCCCAAACCGAAGCAGGTGGTTTTCTTAGGGGGCCGCTCCCCGAACCTTCGAACTGAAGGTCTGATCCACAAGGCAGTCGAGCATCGTGAGGAGATGCAGTCCCATGGAAGCCGGTGACCAGCAATTGGTTCATACGCCATTTGTTCCCGCAGGATACTGGAGCTCATGTGCACCATTGGTTTGGAATCCGGTTAAAACGCCTGACATTCGCTTTTCGTCCTCTCATTTTCGTAAATAACACTCCCGTCACGAGAAGGCAGTGAGTAGGACTTCCCTGGCAGAGGTTATATACGCATGACCATGTGAGAGCATTTCGAGAGGGAGAGCGAACTCTCCCCACTCTCGGCCGTACCAGAGTTCAGCTCTATCGACAATCAGACAATTATTATCAATGGCAATTTATGATGGTTACGCAATATTACGAATTAAATAAAGTTGGAAATGTAAACCACTGAATGCCAATTTAGTGATCTGAAGTTTAAGTATTAGTCCTATGGCCTGAAGGTCCTGGTCTCCTTCCTTGGTGAGGCAGCCGATACAGAATGCTGAAAAGTCATGTACTTGAATGAAATACATGTTCATTAGTTTATTATTTTTCCTGGTTATTTAATAAAAATCAGCCTGTGATTTAAAACTACAAAAAATCAATATAACAGACTAAAACTCACAAATAAATAATCATTTATACAGTTATACTATACATGCATAGTTTCACACCGAGTTGCTATAATTTAGAAATATACCTATTAATGTGTATACATACAAATGAATAGAATTTTGTGGGTTACTGCGCAAATAAATATACATATATTCACACCCACGTAAACAAATACAATCTTGTTCTATAGTAGCTTTCTAGTAAGTTGAATTTGTTTTTATTTTAATGTTTGCTATTTTCGCACCCATATCCATCCACCTTTTTAAACTATTTTGGAAATAAAAATGATAATACTGGGTAGGAAACAATAGATATTTATTTTTACAATACCCATTCCAAGCTGCACTAGGATACTTACCATTAGTTAGTAAACTGATACTAAGATGAATAAAAATAATGGCGATGATATGCAAGACAGATGAAGCATTATTATCTGGCATTATATATATATATATATATATATATATATATATATATATATATATATATATATATATATATATATATATATATATATATATATATATGACAATACTAATTATAGGATGCGGGATATCATAGCTATTATCTAGCTATCAACAACATGCATTTAAAATGTAGGCTACTTGAATTATTAACGTAAATAAACAATTGTACAAAGAACTATTTGTGTTCATTTTCCCTTTTCTATGCAATACATATCCTATTTATTCTTCTTAAATGGTTATCTCTGAATAAACTTTCGGCATAATATATAACAATTAAACATGACATTTCTGACTTATAAACAGGTACCTATAATATACTACAATTTGAGTAACTTTCCAATTAAAATCAAGATGTTCTCTTAAATATAACTTACAATATGTATACAAATAATTAAGTAGATAGAAAGATAGATAGTTTCAGGATTCGTGACATTCGACAAACCGTTTGCAAGTCATATCTTCAATCATAAGAGCATCGACAATAAGCACATGATTTATACCTGTATAACTCACTATTACAGTCAGTGATGTTACCAGAAAGCTATTAAAGTACCAAGTGGTCTTATACTAATCGGTCACCGGGGATTTATTTATAATTGATTTTCAAACAAAATCTGTGTTAAGGTTTATTGAATATATAACGATTTATAAACATACTTGGATTGTGATTATTATTTAAATCAATTGAATAATTATGGTCTGTTTCTTTATTTTGATTATATTGTTGATAGTAATGATTAGCTGCACATAACAATGACAATGGATCATTCAATGTTTCAACTGTTTTCAAATTATTTATCCCATTTGAATTGGATTGAAGATTATTAAGTATTGATTGAAAATCAAGCATAGAATCATATTTCATATTCGTTAAATTATCTTTATTATTATCATGATTATTATTATTATTATTGCTACTATCATTCTTAATAAGTCTACTATGATTATCATGTTGATTGTCAATTCGTTGCCCATTTGAAAAATAAGATATTGTATGCTTTGATGTTTTATGTGTTGTACCATTCATATTGTTCTTATTAATACAATTAGTAGTAATCATATCATTAGAAGGGATATTTTTATTAGGATGACTTTTAGTAAAGGATAAAAGAGACGTATTATTATTATTATCAACATTTGTTGTGGAAAAATGTTTAGAGTTTACTGTTTCTATACTTTGTAGTTGATGTTGAAAGTCATCATGTGAAAAGTTTTTAATTGATGATAACTTTGGTTTATTGGGATTAAATGAAATTTGTTCACAATCATAATTTGAATGTACTTTGCCATTATTATTATTATTATTATTATTATTATTATTATTGACGTCAAGGTGATGATTATGTGTATACAAATGGTCTGTGGATAATGGTGATGATAGATTTGAGAAAGATGAAAGCATACTAGTCGTAGGAAGATGTAGAATATTATCTCTAGTCAGTTCTGTTGATTTGTATGAACACTGGTGATTCGGAGAAATACATGAGCATAAATATTGATGTGATGAATTTGGTGTGTTAGAAGATAGTGGAATTCGAGAAGTGGACACAGAATGAAAAGGAAATTTTGACTGAGGTAATGAAGGAGACGAAATAACCGGTGTTGATGATATAGGAAGTGGTGGTGATATTGGAATAGTATGAAATGATGTCATATCATGAGCTATCATATCCACAGGATCTGTATAATTTTTATCATTATTATTATTATTACTACCACTTGTTGTACCTAATTGTGATGCATGATTTGCTGATGACATGGTTGCAATTAAAGCTGTCTCTAAATTTTCATTTGGTGATAGATGATATTTGCCGGTTTCAACCTCTTGTAAACGTTTAGCTTTTGCTCGACGGTTTTGAAACCATATTTTCACTTGTGTTTCAGTCAAAGTTAGTTTATTTGAAAATTCTGCTCTCTCTAAAAAGTAGTTAAAGAATTTAAACAAAATTACACAGTTTAATCAGTTTTATAGATTAATGAAACAGATAATCAACATTTATTACTGGAAAGTTGAACTAAACACAGACGGTTGGAGTATAATAAATGAAATGTAAACAAATTTATTCATCCACATAAATAATGGTAATAAGCAATAATTCTATTTCAAGATTACTTATGCTCATGTTGAAATCATTTAGTTATACCGCTGTCGACTAAAGTGAATAACATGAAGTAAAAACCTTAGAACTTTGTGTTAAGATTATTTTAGAAACGAACGGAAAAGTGAGTTATCCTATATTGCCAAGCAAAGGATAAGGCTCCTAAACGAACCACTGATAAATTGATCTGATACGGAGAAATTGCCGATTGAGAGCTTTTTTAAAAAAGCTGGTATCTATGTTCATTTATTACGAATCACTTCACGGTTGTTTAATTTATGTCCTATTGCTTAGATATTGTTGTCTGTCTGTTAGTTCACATTTAAACATGGAAATCGTAAGGACTTTTACAATTCCTTTTACATTAAACTTTCATAAAACCAAAGAATCACCAAGATCACAATACGTGTAAGATTGAAAACACTATGAACACCATTTTCTATGACTTCGTGATCCGTGTATCTCATCATAAAGTGACCTCAACTAGAGAACTAGCGAAAAACAGGGATTACATGACTGCTATTTAGTTCTAAACAAAAATTTATTTCCCGCCCTCATAAATAACTTCACATGAAATCAAACCATACTATTAAATTGGAATTTAATGGTTCACATTTACAAACTCAGTTCATATGGTATGTTGAGCAGTTATCATAATGAAAACAGATTAATGGCATTCGTGCATCTGATCTGACCAGAATGTTGACTTCGACTCAAAGATGGGTTATGATACTTTATTCAGACTCACAACAGTCTTCATTCGCCTTTAATCCTTATACAACAATGCCTATCATTGGAAATATAGATAATTACTAATAAATCATAAATAGAAAATTTCTTCGCAAGTTTACAGCTATATGGTGATTGTATTTATCAAAATGTACTAAAACGATTAAAAATTTTCAACATGTCAAATAGTAATCTTCTAGTGTAATTTACAATTAATTGATTACTGATTAGTGACCAAAGTTATATTTGTTTAGTCCATGAGATTAAGTGAATTCAATTGATCAAGTTGCAACTTGGTTATTTGTGTGAGTGATTTGACATAATGTGCTCTATGTTTTGATGTTACATGATTCAAAATAGTCTGGAAGAAACAGTGAATCTAAGTTTCGTGTTAGACAGAACTCAACCTCAAGAGATGCCTGTCTTTTTAACGGTAATAATGTACATTGAGGGATTTATATCAGTGTTAATTGTCTCTAAAAGGTTAGAAAAATCTCATTTTGTATTCACCTTTGGTGTTGAACCTTCAGAGATAGTCGAGAAGGTTGCGTAATTAATCAGTTATGATTGTGTCAAATACATGATAAATGAGTTTTAAAAAGTTAGAACTACTTGTACCGCTCAAGACCATTCACAATACAGTTTCGATGTTAGTCTAATTGTTGACTACATTATGTAATGTGATCGTAGATAGTCATCAGAAAAACTTATTACATTTTCGAAGGAACTGTTGCACCCTGTGTGATCTCAACCCAAGTCACTGGTATCACTTTAGAATTTAAATTTTATTTGATTGAAGGAGACGGATAGAAAATTTCAATTCTAGGTTTCATATTAGTTGGCATCAGTAAGTCCGAGGAAATTGTTGGTTCTTGCATGATTTCAACCTGTCACAATCGGAGAGAGTGGAGAGATCAATCAATGTAAACTTTTCAAATCTTATTTAATACATGATTAAGTGGTCAGTTTTATAATTCGTTTAACTCTTTATTAAATAATTCTTATGAATGTATAATGTTTATTTTGAAATTGTATATATTTAATTACATGTGGGTTAGTTACTATGACTTAGATTAAAACTATGTAAATGTCAATCAATTTCAAGATATGAACACTCATCATTAGAATGGTTGTCGTTCGCATCATAGAAAGTCATACAAAAAATGAAACAGTAAACTAGAGCAACTGACGAAATAAATTTATCTTAAATAAACTTAATAGAGATATCAGTTAATTATTTCATCAATATGAATTGATAAATAATTAACATATAAATAGCAAAAATAATGTGATATAAAACATACACCACAACTATACCACCCCCCGTCAAACAACCCTTTCAATCCATCTTATTATAGCACACAGATTCATACATCCACGTATGCGCATAGTTTCATCATTAATTCTGCAATTATTAGATATTACATAATATGTACACACAGGCAAACAAAAAGCCATTATGATATGATAATAATAGCATTAAGAGATTAGTTTGTCATAAATGAACAATATATATATATATATGCAAAGAGATGGATAACGGAAGGAGAGCAACATCTAGAAAGTTACCTTCCATTACATATGTGCATAAAGATTAGTTTAATTAATGAGATGAATGAACAACATAGTAACCAAATTCTATACTATTTGACTTTATTTATGAATTATGACGTAATAAACTAAACATTTCCTTATTGGTGGTAAATAGAACTGAATAAATAAATAAGTGATTCATCTGTACTGACTGATTATTACATTGAGACATGACTAGTCTATTATGATGACAAGTATTCAAGTAACGATGGTTCTAAAACTTCACCCATGTATTTACACTGCACTAATTGTAAGGATTTTATTTTACTGTAGTTGATATTAAGACTTGCAAACTCTGTTTGAAAATCTTTATCAGGTCTTAATTAAATTTGGATATTGATTATCAGTTCTTAACATTAACAACTAAAAAGTACAAATACTTAAAATTAAAGAGAAATTCATATGTTACACCATCTTGTAGCCAAGTGAACTCTGTAGTCAAGTGGATAACGTGTCGAGTGTTTAGAATAAAATGTGCTGTGTTCAAATGTCAATGTTAATATCGACATTGAGATCTAGGTACATTCGGGTGACCAGTCCCAAATAGGACGAAACGACTTTAATTAAAACTTGTGTTTACACTTTAGTTTTAACCATTTATTATTTGTCCCTGAAGAATATTGAACAAATCTGGAACAGATTATTTAGTCATTCAGTCAAAATCAAGACAACTGACACAGTACTGTCCAATTTTCTACAACATGCATAATTACAAAATGAAAAGTAGACAAAATGGAAATAATTTTATCCAGTTCACAGCGCTTAGCTATAAGAAAGGGGAATATTATTAATAAGGAATAAATGAGATTAATTAGTTAATTAAAAAATATGGAGCAATATTCATCTTATAGTCCAGGGTACTCTTGTTTGTCTATACAGATTTTCTAAAAAAATAATTTTGTCATTTTCTATAATGAGTTTGAGAGAAAAACACAAAGAAACTAACTGAGTTTCCTTACTGCAGCAGGATCTTTACAAGTCATTAAATGATTAAAACAAACCATTGTATCACTGAGTAAAAAAAAGAGTTCACAGAAGACATTTCTCTTATGATTTAAAAGGACATAAGGAATGATTGGAACTGTACTATAGCTACTACTTTTCAACTATACTATCAAACCTCATTTAATTTTCTATTCACCTAAAATATTTGGAAATATTTCTAGATTAAAAAACGGAGCCGAAAAAAATTATCTTTTTATTTCATAGCATAGAACTGTTATTCTTATTTCAAGAACTTATTCTTATGGAGACTTGCACAAGTTCAGGAATATGTTCACCAAAAACTGATGTCACCTAAAATGTCATCAAGAATTCAAGCAATGAGTAGGTGATTTGTTAACGCTTGAGATCTACGGGAACTGTTCAGTTACGACTGCGTATAGTTAACCACAATAGCTTTAGATCACTAAGTCAGTTAAAGCTGATATAAAGCACGGAACATAATAATAATTATTATTATTGTTACTAGTAGTATTGTAGTAGTAGTAGTAGTATATTGTTTAAGCTTTACTGACGAAAATGGGACAAATGTGTTTCAATTAATATCAGAAGGGGCTTCTTGTGGATATTACAGTAATTTTAATAGTTGATATCATGAGGTATTTGAGGCTAGACCATCATGGAAAACCTGGAAGCACTGGGCAGTCGTTTCGTCCTATTGTGGAACGCCTCAGCAGTGTGCATCCACGATCCCGCCCCGCGAGATTCGAACCCAGGATCTATCGGTTTCGCGCGCGAACGCTTAACGTCTAGACCACTGAGCCGGCATCCAGTTAATTTATTATATACCGCTTTTGACTCAATTGGTTGATTCAAACACAAATTAAACTGTGATGCGGGAAATTTGACAAAAAACGTTAAACCTGAGGTTAATTTATCTTCATTAGCGAAAACAAATGAGTGATACTCATTCGATGTTGGAATTATATAAACAAAACTTTATCCTTTTAAATAATTTAGAAATTAAATGAAATTTCATAGCAAAAAAAATGTTCTTTTATTTGAGAGATTAAAATGTTTCATCAAGTGCCTTTGACCTTAGTCACATGTTTGTTTTTGTAACAGTGAACGAAACAATCCATATAACTATTAATCAACATCATTTCGTCATGTGTTTACATTAAGTCATCGACATATTCATTTTCATATGGCCGAGAGTGCTTTCCTTCTGCATAACTTTCTCTACAATATAAAAAAACTGACTACATCCATCCCACTATTCCATTTCTGGTTATTTATAGAAAATATTTAAAACTGTTTACCTCAAATGACAAATTTCTTATCTGACAGTTTATATCATCAGTTTATTTTGTCCATGTGAATGAATTCATTGAGTATCTATTTCCATATGTATGTATACATGTACAGATATACCTTTATTTGTGTTTAATATGCATGTATGTGTGTTAAAATGAAATAAAACAAACTACACTACCATGTTAATATGTATATATCAATAGATATTTCTCTTTATCAAAATTATTTGAATAGTTC